GATTAACTGACCAAACACAACCGCTGACGATTCACAACTAAATGTTTTTGATTTTTCACATTTCGATAGAGTTGTACAGATACCTTTCTACTTGTTCTTAAATACTATCTCAGTCTTAACAAAACGCAGAGTAGTCACTCGATTTCGGAACGTTGCGGGTTAAGGTAACCTAGCGGGCAGATGTACACGCGAACTAAGACTGGGAATGAAAACACGTAACCTAACACTGCTGCGCTGAGACCCATGGAGAAAGAAAGACTGGGAAGCACATGCGTTGCCACCCAGTGGAAGTGTCCTGAGGAAAACAGTGTCAGTGTGGTCTTGTGCGGTAACTGTCGCAGTGTTCTGACGAGAGTTCGCTAAGCTCCCTGCAGCTTGCACAGTAGATGCATCAGTTTCCTGAGTAGAGCTCAGTTGCTTCACTGTGGCTAAGCTTCTAAGTCATGGCGTCGGCTCGGTTGTTTCTTGCGCAGTCTGAATCGCCGTACGGTGAGGTTAGCCCAGCGAGATCCGTGGAACTTTAACGCAGCCGTCTGTTCAACTCTCGTTTACGGCTGAGAAACCTTTCCCATTAGATCGGCCGACCTAAAGAGGCTAGTTACCTTCGATCACCAGTGTCTTCACAGTTTGGTTCGCATCTGATGGGAACACCGCGTGAGCAACGAGTATGTTTATGACACTGGAAGAGGAAATGAACCGCTCAGCACCGTTATCCCACGCACCAAGCTCCGACGGTTCGGCCACTTGTGGCGCATGCAAGTTCACCGACTCCTACATCCTGTGTTGTTTGCGCGCAGCGGGTGTGGATGGAAGAAGATGAGGTGTGGCCAAGCGATGACTTGGTCGAGAGCAATGAAAACCCTTACTTCGACGTTTGCCTCGGTTGGAGCCTCTCTGCTTCTTGCTTGAGGTCCGAAAGGAGATGAACACGTTTGATTGGATACACTCGCCGACATCGCCAGGAGCCGACCTCAGTGGCGTTCGTGTTGTGAGTCTCTTTGTCTCTCTAATCACGATCTTATTTCCTAGCATAATACCAATCAGCATAATAATTTTTTGGTGCATAGTAGCCGGCTGGTAGCTTTCTGGATCGATGTTCCTCCGTTACTGGTAGCTCAGCTAGTGTGCACCTGCTGTATCTATTTTCTTTTATTATGTATTGCGCTACAGTAGCTGAGGTATTTTCCACCCCTAGCTAAAGTATGTAATGAATAATGAATTAAAGGAGCTATGCCAGCTTCGTAACGGAAAATCTACCCTAGTATAAATATCCTTTTGTATGTATTTTGTTATTTGAGTAAGCACGACCCACTTCTTATAGCATGACCTTCCGTGGCCCCCTTAAAAATGTTTGTCATCCCAGGGCCCCTGGAAATTCTCCGTGGCCCCCATGGGTGACATATGTCTCCCGTTGTGAATGGCTGATGTACACAACGGTACAATCGGTCTCGAGAAGCAGCTGCGGTGTCATGTGACATCAAACATTCATGTGCTTCCGGGTACAATTCAATCACATTACCGTGTCGACTACACTTTGAGGCCCTCGGACGCTTGTTTGCCGCCAAACATCGGTGTCTATGAAACTTTACTCGTCTTTGAGCGCCCCAATGTACATTTCAATAACTCGCTATTCGGCTTATTTGGGCCAACCCTATTACATTTACTCATAGAGTATGGCACAGTTGCACCTTGAAAACTGTCTACGTGATGTTCTTCGAGGTTACAGGCTTTGCATCCCATGGTTCGTGGCTGCGCTTGGCTAGCTGGATCCCGAGAGTGACATACTAACATAGGCTGATCTACTGACTAGACTGAGTTGATATGGATTAGTTGGGGGCTACGAATTCGGTGCGTAGAATCGGTCTCCTGGCATTGCGTAGCCGGCAACGCCGTTCGTTTACTCCGTAACCTCGAAACCCCCATCTTTATGTGCCTAGCTTTAAGAATGTTTTCATGTTTTTATTTACATCGCTTGTTTTTCTTCATCCTCACATTGCGTTACACTGTCCTGATTGGAAGTGGTACCTGGCGACCCTATCTGCTTTATTCTAATGTTAAAACTAACACTATCGGTAGAACCTAGATGACCACAGTAAGGCACTAGTTATCCAAGGAATTAACCCCTTTAATGAAAACCGACTAGTAGTTGTAATGCGTACATCCCCTATTTCAACTATACGCCCACTTTGAGTTCAGCTGTCACAATGACCTTGCGTCACCTCTGGAGTTCTTCGTAAACGGATGTTCAGTTCGTGGGTACCACCTAGCCTCCGCATCTTTCAACTGAAGAAGCATGAACATAGTTCGGTATAGAATGGGACAAAGGTTGGTTTTTTCAACCCTCTCATAATTAGTGTTCTTGTTGATCGTCGATGATATAGTGTGTTTTCGAACCTACTCGTTGGTGCCAAATTCCTCCACCTTGAACACTCCTGCAGCACTGCTTTTGCATAGGGTCAATCACAATCCTTTTGGGTGATTAGGACTAAATTGGCCTTTATCTCAAATACTACAGTCGGTTTTATTGTGTTCTGTGCATTGCACTAAAAATTTTCTCAATGTCTGTTTCGTCTCCCCTCATGCGCATGGCATGAACTTAAACGCCATCTAGTTCACAGTAAGCAACGCCATTTGACTCGTTTGACAGAGCACTCATGAGATCAGTTTATTTGCTCCCTTGCTATTGACCCACTGAGCTATTGCCATCCACTATAGAGTTTCTATCCGTATCTTAGGATCAACATGTGATCACGCCGCTCCGTTGCTTCCTCTTTGATCCGGGTTCTCTTGCGCCCTCGCTACTCAAGAGTGGCGAAAATGCTTTCCTCAAATCAGTTACCCACCTGTTCTAACCTGAATGAAGGAATGAGACCGTCACAACCAACTCGAAGGAATCGCTTGTTATGGTAGTGCTCAGGAAGAACATTTGCCACATCTGTGCTTATGAATAAGTATATGCTATATGCTGGCAGTAACAGAGCCGCTTTGATGTGGAACGCTTGTCCTGGATGAAGAAGCAAATAAGTTTCCCAGCGAGACACACATCATACTTATACTCTGTGACAATTGCTCTAGCAGTATCGTACATACCTCATACGGGCTGTGGTTCTGCTTCCCAACAACACTTTCGGCTCAGTATTTCCGAAAATAGGTGTATCAATGTCCAAAGCGAATTGTCGGACATCTTTCCGACAATAGTTAGCACTCATCAAGATCGTCCCACCTTCCCAAATCGTTCAACCGTATCTTAAGTCTCATGGGGTCTCAGGGCGCAGGTCTTGGGTTCCTACCTGGGTAAAATTGGCTGTGGATTACATCGGGTTGCTGTTTAACAATAGTGTGGCGACACAATTCATCCACGATAAACTATCTTGGGTGGTCCCGTCATTTGTCACGCACTTCACTGCTTCACGGTGTAGTTTACTGTTGTATGTCTATTAACTGCTTGATAACTCTTACGCTCAGTGACAAGTAACCAGAGATGTTGTTTTATCAACCGTGTGTGCATGACTGCTTATGGCAGGGGTGTCCAAACTTTTCTGCAAGGAAGGCCATACTTTGTGAGGTAAAAATATGTCGGGCCATATTCAGTCTGACATTAGGATAACAACAAAAATCGCACATGTACGAAAAAACCAAGCCTGGATTTATTATTTCCTGATGAGACCGCGAGCCAGTTGAAATGTTAACGCGGGCCGGACTTTGGACATCCCTGGTTTAGGGTATTTCAAGCAGTGTATAAGCTAGAACTGTGTTCCTGAACGTGCGATATCTGCGGCGCCATAATGGAGTTTCTATTCTTCTGTTTGGCCGTGCATGCAAGGTCACAGTTCGGGAAGTTCTCTTCTATCGGAATGAACCTTTATCTCCTTGGTCTGAAGGTCTGAGGCACCTTCAAGCTTTTTGTCATCCTTACCTGCGAAGCATTACTGGTGTCAGACGACATCAAGATGTCCGCAACGATGACATGCGCAAGCGAGTACTAGCTGGATATAGTGAAGTTGGTTCTTTAGAGCAACATATAATGTTGAATAAGTTGCGTTGACTTGGGCATGTGCAACGTATATCTGGTCACCGCTTGCGGAGAAAAACCTCGTTCTTTGGATGGCGGATGGCGGGAAACGAGATCATTGATGACTAAACTGGTTGATGTTGATCCGCCTTTCCTTCCAGATTAGAGTCCACATGACACCCTGTGGCTCAGATCTGTTCTGTTAGGCAACTATGATCCGAGCACGGATGTGTACGGTGCATCTAGTTGCCACGACTCACGTCACCAGCATAACAATAAATCACGATGGCGAGAAATGGGATTGAACACACATAGAATACAAAGAGATGGAATCAAGGGATAAGTGTGTAAAACTAATCGGGGTGCAATAAAAATTAACAGCTAGCTACAAGAAACCGAATGCAGTAACGCCATTGCTTACGCGATTGAACCATGTCCGACAGTCTCTAACCACTGCTGTGAACCATGCCGGGGCCCTCATCCACGAAGTGGGCATGCACCAGCCTGACCAAGTCTCTCAGTCAATTTCTTCATACCTCTATGACATGTCATAGGCTGGCCATCTCGCGGTTTTGCCCCGTATTTAACACGAAAGTTTACACCAGATGACTCTCGGTTGTCATCAGTGGCTAATTTCCTGCAGTCTCTTAACTGGACTACTTTCTTAAGTTTTTTCTAGTGCTGTGTTATCTATGGAGTAAGGCTGACTGTGACACGTGGCGATGTAGTCCGAAAGGAGGACGTTTCGCAGATGCCCCTTTGTCATTACCGTATATCATTGATAAGGTGCGAGCACTTTAATTCTGAATGTTTGCTTAAGGCATTTAGATTTTGCTCACGGTCCTCCTTCCTTATTTTATTCTATTTGCTATAGTCAAACAGCTCCTTGGCCACTGTATACTCCTTTACATGTCACCATTTTTGCCCTTGTTGGTTGATACTGCTATGTTGTATTCACCCATCACTCTGTGTTCGTGTTTTTTACTAGAACACTCCTGGAACCGGACGTGCGAGCAAAGCGAATGCCAAGAAAAATGCCGCAGCAGCAGCGGCAGCAGCATCTACCACACCACCCTCAAACGTTCTGCAAAGTATCACACCCACTTCGGACCCATACACAATGGGCAATATCCGCATGTCTGTTCAGCCTCCTCAGGCTACTTGTGTAAGACAGAAGATGCCAGGCCCTGGGTGGAATGTGTACCCTTCCAATCTCATGAGCGGCTTTCCCTCTGGTTTGGCCTCTCCGCCGCTGTCGATGCCTGTTTGCGATGGGCGCACCGGCTCTGTTTCTCCTGCCTCGTTTGCATCCTCGAACGGGATGCTAATGCGACCGAACTCGGGCCCTCCTGTAAACATGGCTTTCAGCACTACTCCTCATGGCAGTGACCAACTAATGCCCACTGGACCTGTGGACAATGCTGGACGAATTCTTTCTTCACCTCGCCTCCACTCTTCAATCCCCAGTCAACAACAGCAGTACTTGAATACCACTATAACGACTACAGGCCAAATTCCAAATGGATCGTTGTTCGTGGGTCATTCACATCAGTCATCTCAGCCACCGTGCCTATCGTCTGCAGCTGCAATGGCTCCCATCTGTCAAAGCCAGCAGCTTCCTGGTCATCCAGGTTGCGGTCATGGACAGAGCATACGTTTAGTCCAGTCGCCGATGCATTTCCAGCCACAACACTCTGGGTCCACGCAATCACTCCTCCAGGCCCCGAATCGGATCCCGTCACAAGCGCCACCGCGCACCACCACTCCAGTCGGACCAAGTGGTGGATCTTTTCCTAGTGAGCCAACTTGTGCTGTTGAACGCCTCTCTGGGCCACCTTATTCTAGCCTGAGCTCCGCTGCTGGCACAGCCTCTACAGAAATGCCCATCACCTGTTCCACTTTGGGTAAGATGATTTCCCTGGTCTCTCTGTTTAACTGGTTACCATTCGTGTTCTCATACAGCAGTGGTTTGTACTGCACGTCACCAGCTTCTCGTACTTTTTAAGCGTGAAACCAAGTTCGCATGCTTGCAGGGTTTCCGCGTTTTTCACTTCGCCTTCGATTTAGCCATGAGGGTCGCACTATGCTTTTCCTCCCCCAGATGTGTCCTTCGCATCCTTGGTGTAGCGTACGCTGGGTTACTCGCTCTTATGATCATTTTGCCACATTCTTCTGTCAAGATGCAGATTATTTTCCGCGAATTTTTTGAGTAATGCCTCCGTCATCCGACTGGTTGCGCTGTAGTTGGGGCTTGTAATCCGCAAACCAACGATCCGGACCTGTGTAGGCGTCGCTCATCTCACAGCATGCCGATCCGCATGCGACCTCTATTGGTGGTGTGACAACGACGCGTCGATGTACGTCTCCGATGTACTGCTGATATGTTTATCCTTTAAGCCAGACGAAAACAGAAAAACAGCTGCGTAATAAGATGGTTATTTGCGTAACAGTCAGTCTCAAAAAATACCGCAACAGGACGTGCGAGGCACTCGAGCTCACATGAACACAGTTTCCAAATTATTGATCAATAATTGTCAGACGGACGCACGCGTTTAGCGTCCAGCCATGTACATCATTTGGGTTCACCTATCCATTCGTTAGAAGGTGTCCCTCCTAACACCCCGTTTGAACTCCACTGTCATATGATTTCAGCCTGGGGTTAACCTGGAGCGGCATGACAGGAACTCGGCAACGATCGGGCCATCATCTGGGTCGACATTCAAGGAGAGGTTGTTATATTGACAGGCTTATCTTGCTGAGTAGCCTCTGTTTTTGGTAGTTTGAACTCGTCCAGAAGTAATTCAAGAGGCGTAGTTAGGGCATCTTCTCTTCTCTCAAATGAGGTGTAGCTCTTGCCTTGATTTATGTGGCGGATCCATCAGTCATCGCCTACGGCCGCTTCATAACAGGCATGGCCGCATCTTTTTACAACCATTCCAGGTGTACAAGAGATTTGGTTGTTCCGATAGTCCTTTGCCAACACTTTCTGTCCAACCTCGAAGTGTCGTGGTAGAGCGTCAGGCCTTCGGTTCTACTGGTGCTCCATTATCCCGTTTCTTTCGGGACTGGATCTATCCGGCGGCCTTATTAGATCAAATTTCGTTCGAGGCCTTCTGATCAGTAGTGCTTTTGCTGGGGACTTCCCTTCAGACATCCGTGGATTAGGCGTAAACCTGTACATTAATAGAAAAGTCTGTAGGAACTCTTGGATTGGTCCGCCTCCTTCCACTTTGAGCAGAGTTCTCTTGGAAGTAACCACAAATCATTTAGCTTGCCCATTTGACTGTGGATCATAAGGAGGTGAGCACAAATGCTGCATGCAGTGTACCGCTGTCGTTGCCCTTTGATATCTCTAGGTTTGTGAGACAAGGATGCCCGCTGTCAACTTTCCTCTTCAACTTCGCTGTTGACGAAGTCATGGAGATTGCATTTGCAGGACACGAATTAGAAGGCGTGGATCTGCTCCCAGGAGAATTACTTCTTGATTTTGAGTATATAGACGATAGTGCCCTAATGTGTGACAGCTCACAAACGTGCCAAGCGGCACTGGACAGACTAGCACTGGTTGTCAGCCGCCTCGGGCTTTGCTTTGCACAATCGAAATGCAAAGCTTTCCTGCAAGATTGGTCTGGACCGCTTCCTTCGCTGACCCTTGGTGGGTATCAGCTAGAAGTCGTTCGGAAATTCAACTACCTGGGAAGTTGTATCAGCGCCTTTAGGATCGAAGACGAAATCACGAACCGTATATTAAAAGCTCGAAGTGCTTTTGCTAGTCTTCGCTACCTATGGCGGCGGCGCGACATTACTCTCGCCCTGAAGAGTAGAGTGCACAATTCAGCGGTACGTTCGACCTTATTGTACGATTGTGAAATCCGGTCCCTTAGATCAGCAGACATAAAGAGGCTAGTTACGTTCGACCACCGGTGCCTTCGCAGTTTGGCTCACATCTGGTGGGAACACCGCGTGAGTAACGAGCGTGTTCGACGCATTGTTTACGGCACAGGAAAAGGAACTGAACCGCTCAGCACCGTCATTTCACGTACCAGGCTCCGATGGCTGGGCCACGTGTTGCGCTTGTTAGCCCATGGACTTCCACGACGTGCGTTGTTTGCTCACCGGGGATGTGGACGGAAGAAGAGGAGGGGTGGCCAAGCGATGACTTGGTCCAGAGGAATGAAGGCCCTCACTTCCGTGCTGGCCTCGTTTGGAGCGTCACGGCTCCCTGGTTGGGGTCCAAAAGACGGTGAACACGTTTGGCTGGATACACTTGTTGATATGGCTAGGAACCGACCTCAGTGGCGTTCGTGCTGTGAGTTTCTTTATCCCACCCCATCCCTCTTAGCCTCTCCCTCCAACCACGATCTCACTTCTTAGCGTAAAACACAATAATTTTTTTTCTTTTTGCCTAGTATCTGGCTGGTAGCCTACCGGAACGATGCCTATCCGTTGCTGGTAGCTCAGCTGGCATGCAACTTTTGTATTTATTTTCCTTTTTCATTTATGTATTGCGGCACAGTAGCTGAGGTGTTTCCCACCTCTAGCTGACGTGTATAATGAATGAAATGAATGATGAATTACGGCAGACGGACGCACGCGTTTAGCGTCCGGCCATGCACATCAATTGGGCTCACTGATCCATTCGTTAGGTGCCCCTCCTAACAATAACACTATATTTCATCAATTCAGTGTTGCTTCACGGTGCTTGCGGGATAACTAGATTAAGCAAGATGTGTATGATAACCGGTGTTTCCCAGGCTTTGTTTAGATCAGTACTAATGCGATCCCTCATATGGCATTTGACAACTGATCTTCTGAATCCACACGAGATAGCTTGGTGAACTCGAGCGTTCTCTACTGATCCCTGCGTTTTTCACTCAAATCCACTAATTACGCTAGTCACAGCGGTGATGTCGTCAGAGGCGGCCGGGCTTATTATTTATCTATTTATTGTGACCCCAAAGGCTCTTCCGATAAGCGGTATGTGCACTTCGAACATCCGGTCTGTTAAGCATGAGCTTCCGATCATTCAGTTCTCTAGTTTCTATCTGAACGTCCAAATGCGCCGAATCCAGTTGTCATGACTAACGGTTGGAAAAGTAAGGGCGGATAAAAAACGGAGGGAACGCAAACAAACCTGTGAAGGACATAGCACCAAGGTAGTCAACTATTTGTCGGAGCTAAGTCCGGTTTATGAGTTCGAAAATATGAAGCTTAGATGCCACTGACTGAACGACCACAACATGTTGGGTTAGTCGTCTTTCCGCCAGTGTGACCGCCTTCGACAACGCATCAGGGAAGATGGCATGCGCCGGTCTCCTTAGCAGATGTCGTCAGGCTTTTATTCCATGCAATAAACGACTGGCCACCTCGATGTTTCACTTGATCACGTGCAACCGTGGCAAACACTGCATTCCGGAGGATCGTTGGTCATCAGACACATGATTTCGTCAGTGTGGGCTGTGCGCATTCAACAGTCCAGGGCTGCGACATTGCTTAAAAACAAGTTGGCGGGTCTCAGCACCGTTCACTCCATTTTCTCTCCATGTATGAGTGACAGGTTGCGTACACCTGTGCTCGAGATGATCATTTCCTAGTGGTGTCGATAAAGCATTGTAGCCGGCTCTCCGGTCCCCACTTCATTGGGGACTTTGACTGATAAGCCGTTTACACAAGTGGTTGAAGCTTCAAAAATTTACCTTGGTGCTTTGGCCACTTCAAACGGTGGTTAAATAGCTATGCGAATAGGCTACGGTTGGCCTTACCCTCTAGCAGTGCCTTGAGCTCTAGATAGACGTAGTTCATATCGAAGCGTTCAGCACTTTACCTCAAAAGAACTGATTCCTTCATCAAAAGTGTTATATCATAAAAACTAAAAATTGCCCGCGGTCATTTAGCATAATACCGGCTCCTGAAGAAGCATGTGGGGCAACCTCAATCACAATCTCTTCGATATCTATTTGAAGTGGTTAATTAAACATGTCTAGTCCCCCAGCCTCAGTCAATGAAAGTCAGAATGAACACAAGCATTGGTCGATTCGCGTTGATCTTACGTATGGCTTTGCAGTGGCACTTTTACAGGTATAAAACATTGTTAGTCATCTTGTGTATCCACAGTCTCTCCGCTGTTTTTGCACCACGCCGCGATCTGTTTAAGTCGATCATTCGTACTAGCCTCCCACTGTCTTGCTGCTTCCCCCTTCACTTACAGGCGTTGTGTTGTTTTTCGCGCTGGGTGTTTTAGCTGCTGTTGTTTCGTGGCCAGGCTAGGAAATCTCATGAATGCGGCTTCCAGGGCTTCGTACTCGGAAATCGATCAACCATCACTTGGAGTCGTAGGTGGCTTGCGAGGTTCTGTGAACCGAGCCGTGAAAGTCGCGGTGATGACGTTGCTTAATCTGGCAGCTAATTTATTCGCCTCGGAAAACAAGACAACTACTTCATCCACCTCCCCGAGCTACAAGTATTCTCAGTAGTTTCATTCTTTCTTCGTTTATGCAACAATTGCCACGAGCGATTTTATACATCTTCAGAATGCGCTGCAGATTGGTCACTAAAATGTGCGCACACCACGCACCACGGGGCTCGGCCGCTGTCATAGATTTCACAGCGCTCTTTGAGACGCTTATCACTGGAATTTTCTGGAATTCACTGTGAAGTTGCTGGCTGCAGTTCCTGCTAAATCGGTACTGCAGCTTGGAGCCTTGTATCATCACCGTATCGGCTTTGTCATATCCAGCGATTTGTATGACTATCTGATATCAGAGCCGATCGGTTCTGTGTATATTCTGCGATATCCAATTCGGGATCTAGTTTTGAAAGGTCACTCTGTTTCCCTATTAGTGTGACTGTCAGTTTGAGTTCTTCTCTTGCTGGTTACTCTTCGAACTGAAACTAGCAATGGACG